GTGTGCTCTTCCGATCTCCCCAAAACCCCAAAACCCCAAAACCCCAAAACCCCAAAATAAAAAGCAGCAATTTATGCAAATTCGATTTAAATAAAAATCTTATTGGCTTTATAGGTTTTTGAATTAAAATAACTGGGTTAATTATTTATCACATGACTTTCATTTTTCTCCGTTCGGTTCATCAATTTTTTCATTTGGAATTGAAAGGGAAGAGCTCTTGGATGAGGCAGAGTCAGATCTTCTACTGTGTTTCTTGCTCTTTTTCTTTTCCTCCTCTTTACCTCGTTTTCTATCTCTTCTTCTCTCAGCAGAATCACTTCTATCTCTTCTATGCTTATGCTTTTAATGCCTCTTTTCATCTTCTCTGCGATTTCTTCTCTCTCTACTATCTTCTTTTTCAGACGAATGATTGCGTCTCTTTCTATCATTGCGATCTTGTCTACGAACATCTTTATGATCTCTGTCGTTTCTTGGGCTTCTAGACCTTCCTTTTCTCTCGTTTCTATCATCTTTATATCCTCCCCATCTTCCATTGTCATCTCTTCTTCTATCTCTATTATCATATGTTTACTGCTTTGAGGAAGTAGATTACTGATTATTTCTGGAAGCATTATAATCTGAATGGGTGTTCTATTTAGGCTGAGGGAGGTCAGCAAAATTCCTAATTTTTTCAAGCTATTTTTTAGCTTATTCAATCTATTCAAGCTTACGATTTTTCTCACTTATTTTTTCTTTGATCAAAGATGGAGGAATACCTGATACTTCTTTTTGGGCTGAAAGCAGCAAGTCCCACAATTCCTTCATGAATAGAGGAGCCTTATCATCTAAAAATCCTATTAAAATAATCATTAGAGCTTGAAAATTACCAGTCAATTAAACTTGAAGATGCTTGGGGTCGAGTCTTTTATCTGGGTGTCCTTAGTAGTCTTCTAATGAGGATATGGCGAAGTTAATTACAATTTCATCGTCATATCCCATCAGTTCAGTGATTCTTCTCTCCACCCAGAGTTTTATCACGTCTAATTAAACCTTAAATTAGCTGAAATAATACCAATACTTACCTTTTTAAGGTCAACAAAGGTGTCGAATTCAGGAGGAAAAGACCATTTCTTTGTTAGCTCACGATCCTTATCCTTAAACTTAACATTTTGATCAAGTTATGTACCTCTAAAAAAACTAGCAGCCATTATTTTAATATTTAAATTATAAAGATCCCCAAATTTCTTATATTTGACTATCCTGGGGTTTTGGGGTTTTGGGGTTTTGGGG